CCCTCCCCTTTTCTCTCCTCCCCTCCCCCTCCGGTCCCCTCCTCCCTGGCCTCGCCCCTCTGCTGCCTCCCCACCCCGCTCCCTGTCCCTTCCCCTTTCTGGGGCCGGCTCCCCGCGCCCTCACGGCGCTGACCCCCTTTCCCTGCGCCTGGGTTTGCGGCAGTCGGCGGGGCGCGCTGGCAGTCCTGGCGGCCGCCGCAGCCCGGGGAGAAGCTGGAGACTGTGGGGCGGGGGTGGGGGGAGCGGGAGAGGAGCCATCCTCCCGTCTCCAGCCCGATTTCAGGCTGGGGCCTGGAGAGTCCAAAGGAGTCTGGGGAGACTTGATGGGGGCATGTGAATCTATAAGAATGCAGCTATTGGAGGCTGGGGACTAGGGCAGCTCGGATTGAGCAGAGCCGCCACGTTAACCGGGTGAAGCTAGGAACTGCGTTCGGGCAGTTCCCGCCCTGAAGCCGGCCAGGAGAAGATCCCTGCCGCCCCTACTTCAGCAGGGCGGAGATGTTGGGCCCGATCCCCCGCGCTTTTCACTGATGTGCCAGGTGCGCTCAGAGACTCTAAAGCTCTGCGGAAGGAACCCTTCTCATTCATTCATTGTCATTCATTCATTCGTTCCGTTCATCCATCCATTCATTCTACAAACTAAGCGACCGTCCAGTTTGGTCCCGGCAAGGGGCTGAACCTGGGATCCCCAAGACGAGGGGAGATGGCGGTGCCCTGCAGAACTAGCGGGCGTCTGAACCCCGTGGAGGGGAAAGCCGAGCACGCATTGCGCTATTGAGGGGAAATCAGTTAGGAATCCAACGGGCTCGGTGAGGAGGAGGCCACAGCGCCCCCTCTCGGCAGAGCCCTCAGGGTAGGGTGAGCTGCTCCGACAGACCTCCCCGCCTTTATCCAGCTTGACTCCCTAGTTCCCAATTCCGTCCCCTGCTGGGCGAAGCAGCTCCCGCTTCCTCCAGCCCCTTAAACTCTCCCCTCCAGCCCTTCCAGTTGGACAGAACTTTTGCCTTCTCCTATCTCTCCCCTCCTCCTGCCGGAGCTGAAAAGGGAGGTAAAGAAATGACTACCCCACAGAGCCTCCTCGGCCTGCAGCGCCAACCGAAGCACCCCGAGCGGAGCATGGTCCCAGAGTGGTCGTCAGCTGGCGTTGTAATCAAACTCCAAACCTAACCGCCCTGGATTCTGTGTCCTGCTGCACCCATCTGCCTCCTTCCTTCCACCCACTTCTCAGCACATTTAGCAAAAGCCGGTGCATTCATGGGTCCAACTGGTTCTTCGTTTAGGAGTTACTGTAAAAGGTCGTATGAGGAAACTGAGGCGCACAGAGAAGTGGTGATCGGTCCAAAGTTACATAGCTGGTAAGCCTAGTCCCCAGCCTCCTGATTCCCACCTCAAAGTGCCTTTCGAGCTGGGCTCTGACGGGGATTGGGGCTCTGAAGTGGGGAGGAGCAGTGCCCAGGAAGCCATCTGGTCACACTGCCTTAGCCATTGGGTGGCACTTTCTAAATGAAGCACACAGTCCCAAGTCTTGAAGAACCCCCAGTTGGTTAGTGTCCCAGAGGTGGTCATGTTGAGCTTGGCACAGACTCACCCCAACCAATACCAGAAGAGACGGATGCACCAACCAGATTGCCAAATGTACTTTTCTCAACAAAAATTAAATACAGGGTTGTCCAGTGTAGCACAGGTTCTGGAGTCAGCCTAAGTTTGAGTCTTAGCTCTTCCGCTTACACGCTGTATAAATCTGGAAAATGATTTAATACTGCCTCATCTATAAAATAGGGGAAGGAATACCTACCTCACAGTGTTGTTGAGAGGTTTTAAAAAGTTAATATTTGTAAATGACTTGGAACGGTGCCCAGCACATAGCAAGGGCTTAATGAAGGTTACCTGTAATCACCATCATCATCATCATCACCAACATCATCATCATCATCATCATCATCATCAAGTGGACCAGATGCTCAAATGCATGGGCAGCACAGCCCCTCCCTCTAGGCAGTGGAAAGCAGAGTTCTTGATTAGAAGGTCACAGCAGCAATGGACTATGGAAACAGTGGAGAGGGAGCTGGCGGGTCCTCAGGGAGGTTAGCCCAGGTCCTGCAGAGGCCTTGCTCCCCAGCCCTACTTGACCTTGGAGCTGACTCTCCAGGGACCAGACAGCTCCAGATTTCCAGATTCTGTTTCTCTCTGCTTAATAAACACAATTTCACCTCTCTGAGCCCCTTCACCCTCCCCTTGACATGATCTTTAAATATGCTAATGCTATCAATTAGGCTGTAATCAAGTCTTGCTCTTCTGGCTTTTTTAGACCTTCTCTTTCTAAAGGAGCATCTACCTAAAGGGGCATCTATAGATTTCACATTTCACATTTCACCCCCTCCCAGTTGACTATGTTGATTTCATTGACTTAACCTCCACATTCCCCCCACCCCAGGTAAAAAGAGGAGTCTTCTGTATCACTCCATTATGTTCTTATTTATAGTTTTGGCCTTGACCATCCCAGGGAGGTTATGAGAGGCTCATATTTAACACCCCTTTCGTAAAAGTATCCCATATCCCCTTTCATTTGTCCTGAAATTGCTTCTTTCCACCTTCAAGAGCCCAGCTCTCATCTGCTCAGCTTGGTGAGGATGCCAGCCAGGGCCCAGGGCCTTCCCTGCATTTCCTCCCCTCAGCCCCAGCCACTCCAGCCAACCAGCTCAATGGCCCAGGATGTGCTCCTTAGGCAGCCTCTCCAACCCTCCTCAGGACCACCTCCTGCTCCATCTCAGCATCCTCTTCCCAGCCAGACCCCTCCCAAACTCTTTGACCCCTCCCTTACTCTTTCCTCTTCCTGTCCAGGCCCAGACCAAAGCCAGCTTTCATTCAGTGAACCTGACAGATTTGAAAGAAAAGAGAAATATGAGGAATCTAAATCAGAATAAAAGACAATTCCACATCCTTCCAAACAGTAGGAGAGACAGATAGGAGAACAGATAGTAATGGGTGGGACCCAGCAAAGGAGGGCTGAGCATGCCCCCTTTGCCTGTGGGATTCCATTGGCTTTAACCATGGGCATCCCAGTGAGGTTGATGGTTTGGAACTGTATTTCTTAGGCTGCTTGTGATGAAGAACCAGTTCTTGATTTTTAAATTTCTCATCTGTTGCAGAATGATACTATTGCAACATACAGTGGGAATAAATTATTAGAATAAATGAAATAAAAAATAAAGACATACAAAATAGAAGTCCAATTTTCAGAACGGTTAGATTCAGTGGACATAAAACTACTCTGTCAAATTGCTTTAAAATGCCTACATGCTTACTTTCAGTCTCTGCGCCTGTCTTGTCACAGACTGGCAACAAATAGTTTGCAGGCAGATCATGCTTGGAGTAGCACTATGCTACTTCTGGAAGTATGAGGTCAGGAAAACGGCCTCATGGAGGGAGCAGCTTATAAAATCACATTAACATCGAGGGAGATGGTGTTAATTACTCAATTCATCTGTGCATTCATTCAACAAACGTTTAATGAGCAGCAACTATATACCAATCACTGTTGGATGCCCAAGTTAATAAAGATTAATATAGCAAGGCCTTAGCCCTCAAGATGTTCAGACTGGAAGGGAGACAACCACTTTGATAAATAGTTAAAAGCTAGTGAAATTAGGTCAACAATAGACCAGGCACCATGGGTACAGAGGCAGAAATATTAATTCTGCCCAGGGCCAACAGGGAAGGTCTACCGAGGAAGTGATATTGTGCTGGGGTCTGGAGGCAGAGAGGCAGCTGTTCAGTTCCACGTGGCCATCCGGCACTCAATAAATGAGCTAATTTGTGTAAAGGCCTTAGGGCAGTGCCTGGCACATAGTGAGTGCTTCAAAAGTATTTGCTGTTTTTATTATTAAATCTTATAAATTATCATCAGCATCAGCATCAGCATCATCCTCATCCACTTAGATTTACCCAGCACTGTGCTTAACTTAGACTTGGGATTGTGGGGTTGTAGGTAGCTCAGCTGGGGGAAAAGGGTGACCTTGACCCACACCCTTTGTCAGAGGAAAGACCTTCTGGAGAATGTGGGTTGAGAGTTGGTACTGAAGGAAGTGCGTGTGGGCAGGTGAAGATGAGAGGGAGACCTTATAGGCAGGAGAGTCCCTTAGAGACACAGCCAGGGGAGGAGACTGCTTTAACGGGGACAAGCAATGGAGGTGCAGTGACTGGGTGATATTACTCATTCTCTCATTTAGAACAACATATAATAACAGTACTAATTAGGATTTGTATGGCAATTTGTGCCTTATAACAAACAATTTCTCATTTAATCGTTCTAACAGCCCCATAGAGGAGGTGTTAGTAGTCACTTTACAGATGAGAAAGCTGAACTCAGAGGTTGATACTGTGCCCAAGGTCACATGGCTGACTTTAGTACAGGCAGGATTCCAGCCCATGTTCCCAGATCCCACTCCAGACATTTTCCAGTGTCCTGTGGAGGGGTGACCTGAGCCTAGCCCCGCAGGGAGCCGTGATACCACCTATAGGAGGCCCTGGCTCCAGAAAAATGATGCTCTAGGACCAGTCTTTCCCTTTTTCTTTTCCTGGGAGATGCAGAGGCAAGCCACACAACAGAGCCTGACAGTGACCATAGACAAGGGTGGGCCGCTAGATCACAAAGACTCCTCAGGTGACCTCCTCCTCCTCCTGAGTCTGAGTTTGTATTAATCCAGGGCAAATATGCTTACTTTGGGCACAATTACCATATTTTTGCATGTATTAAGTGTGGCCAAGAGGGCCACTGAAGTTTGTTTTTAAGGAAATTTTTTAAAGGTGTACTTAAGTAAGAAGGGTTGACACCCGGGGAAGGAAGTGAAAACAGATCAGGGGTGCCAGCCAGAAGCGCAGAGTCTAAAGGAAGGGCACACACTCACATACCTTTACAGAGAGATAACGTCCCTTTAGCCTAGACT